ATTGTAGCTAGATGAGTTAGCTTTCCAACGCATTTTGAATCGCCTCAATCGGATCTCGGAATACAAAGTTATGATAAAAATACTGAAAGAATGTGCAACTGCCTGTTTAAAAACAAGAAATTCCGTTACATAGTCACTTTTAATATATAGAAGATATTTTGTGACGCTGTTGTAACACAGGCTACCTAGGAAAAATTAATTACATGTGTTCACATTATATTACAACTATAGAATGTGCATAAAAATCAAAAACAAGCTTACACAAATAATTATTAAAATGCCAAAATAAATAGAAAAAGATACTTAGAATCAAGTTTAACCTTTGGTTTGTAGAATTCTTCGACAACATCTTTCTTTTTCTTCGACTTTAAAGTTCCTTTACCATTCCTACGTTTCCTTTAGTAGTCATCTATTCAGAAATCGTAGTTTCAAATGCTAATGAAAAATGAAGACTACGTGTAACAACCATAGTTTCAATTGAAGAGATTAAAATCTACAACACATAAGAATAATTCAAATTTGGGTAAAAACACCTATTGAAATAAGAGAACTATAGAGAGAAAATGGAGGAGTAAAGAATATTTGTATATTCTGTTGTGTGTATAAACTATACAAGGGACCGCCTTTTTATAGGAGAAAGAGATGACTACAAAAGGTAACAATATTATCTAATTAAGGCTAATTAGACAAAATATCAATCATTCCTTATTTAGGAAGATATTCCCACATTAGAAATATATTACTAATATATTAATAGATTATATACTGACACCCCCTAAACTTAAGATGGGAACGAAGATGTCAACTTGAGTTTGTAAACCATATCACGATGAAGACCGGATGATGAGCCTTTGTGAAGATGTCAACAAGCTGATCAATAGAAGTAACATGATGTAATCGAAAAATACCTTGCCTAATATGATAACGAATGAAATGACAATCTTTCTCAATATGTTTCGTGCACTCATGAAAAACATCATTGTGGGCAATCTGAATGGCACTAATATTGTCACAATGGATATAAGAACTGCCAGTAAAGGAAAAACCCATATCTTGGAATAACCATCGAAGCCACAAAAGTTCAGAGGTAGTATCAGCCAATGCATGATATTCAACATCCGTACTAGAGCGAGATATAAGTGTTTGCTTTTTACTTCTACAAGAGATGAGATGTGCCGAGCAAGAAGCAATATCCAATAGTGGAGCGACGATCAATAGGATCACCTGTCTAATGAGCGTCAAAATATACCTGAAGGTCCAATGATGAGTGGGCAGAAAAATGAATCCTATGAAATAAAGTCCCCTTAATGTATCGAAGAATTCGGAGAAAAACAGCATAGTGAGTAGAGCAAGGAGAATGCATAAACTGACTTACCAAGACGACTGCATAAGAAACGTCGGAACGAGATATAGTCAAGACTGCCAACCAATTGTCGATGAGAACCTGTTGAAGTGCTTGTATACCCGAAAGACCATCACTCATAATAACCACGTCATCAACAATACCAGCTTTAGATTGAAGGATAAACAAAGCAGAATCATATGTACTAGGAGTGAAGCCTTATTAAGCTAACACTGAACTAAACTTGGAAAACTTTCGAAGGCAACAAACCTTTTGAGGCGGGTTCTCAAATCCTGGAGAAGGTTTAAGACATACTTTTTCATCTAGATTACCATTAAAAATGCATTCTTCACATTCATTTGAAACGGCTTCATTGTCGAATAGCTACAACAATAAGTAAAGATCTAAAAGAAGTAAGATGTGCAACAGGTGCAAAAGTCTTCTCGTAGTCCATACCATACTCTTGAGTAAATCTCTGCACTTAAAGACGAGCTTTATATCGTTCAACAGACCCATCAGCTTGTGTCTTAATCTTGTACACTCATTTGCATCCTATTGCAAACTTACCGAAGGCAAATCAACTAAGTCCTATGTACAAGTTTTGAGGAGGGCCTGAAGTTCATCAAACATAGCTTTTTGCCAAAGAGGGTTAGAATTAGCCTCACGATAATTGCAAGGGTAATGAAGAGTGGCAATCACAGAAAAACAATGATAATCATTAAGATGTACCGGAGGTGTTCTTACTTTATTGGAGCGACAAATTTTTGGAACAGATGAAAACTCGAAGGGGGTGATAGGATAAGGAAATGGCTCAAACTCAAGAGAAACGTGCGATAAGTGGTCACTGAATGAGCTTTCAACACCTGCATTATAATCTAATTAAAAATCTACATTGGGGTCAGTAAAAACTAGATGATGAAATGGAGGATGTGACAGGACTATACAGGTGAAGAGCTTGTGCTCCTAAAACTAAACATCGCGGGAGATGCCAAGATGCTTGATGATGGGGTTATAGCATTGTTAACTTTGTGATCAATGCAATAATCGAGAAAACAACAAAGAAGAAATCGTGGTTCAAGTTTGGTACGCTCATGATGTGGATGTAATACAAAACAAACACAACCAAAAACTTTCAAGAGAGAATAATTTGGTACCTTTCTGTGGAGAAGCTCATAGGGAGACCGATTGGAAATGATAGGGGGAACCCAATTGATTGTATAAACGGCTATAAGAGTATCTTCTCCCCAAAAGAATTCAGGGAGGAAGGATGAGAGGAGAAAAGACCTTACAGTGTCGAGAATATGAAGGTGCTTACGTTCTGCACAACCATTTTATTGAGAAGTATACAGACAAGATCGATGAGGAAAAGAGCCATCTTCTATAAAGTTGTCAAGAAAAGAGGCAGACATATACTCCATGGCATTATCAGAGCGAAATATTTTGATAGTGCGATCAAATTGAGTTTTTATCATTTGCTTAAAACTACGAAATACATTTAATAACTCAAATTGATTGTGTAAAAGATAAATCCATGTGTAGCGTAAATAATCATCGATAAAGATTACAAAATAACGAGACCCCCTTGCAAGGAGTAGGGATAGGTCCCCATACATCAAAATTGGACAAGATCAAAATGGATAAAAGATTAAGAGTCGTTGTTATTAAAAGATAAAGCTTTCGTTTTCCTAATTGATAAGATACACAATCAAAAGAGTCAAAGTTAACTCTTCCTAAGTAATCATTAGATGCTAAAGACTGAATACGAGACAAAGATGTATGACCAAGACGGGAATGCCAAAGATTGAAGAGACAACAACTGCAAAAAGTTGGATAGAAGATGAAATTGGAACTTGCAATGATGAAAGCTCAAAAAGTCGACCAAATTTATGCCCTGTCCCATCCAGTGGGAGTATGAGATAAAACTTGATGGACGATTGCCTCAAGATCAGCTGCAGTAACAGATGATAATGGTAGGTATAGAAGAAGACTCCAAAGATGATAAATTGGTAGATGCAGCAATTATCTTGGGAATAGAGGTATGTATCTTAGCCTTCTGAGCATCTTTTACATCTTTAGCCTTTTTCTTGGCACAATCAGAAATTCGATGACCTCTTCCTTACAATAGTGGCATTGACCATTGAAACGACGTGGCACGGAAAAAGCAGCAGCCACAACTAAACTAGGTATAGTAGCCATAACCAGATCAGTAGAATAAACTTGACGAGTCTTCTAGTGTGTCGCCTCGAAAATGAGCTCAGTAAGAGCAACATCAAAAGTTGGTAGTGGAGAGCAATGAAGAAACGAGGCTCTAGTATTCTCAAAGTCATTTTGAATATGTAGCATAAAATGGATGAACCGGTGCGCAGCAGTTTGAACGCTACTATATGCGACAATAGGTTTTGTGATGGATTTGTAGTTTATGGCAGTTTGTGGATGTTTTTGTGGTGATTTTTTGTGGTGGTGGCGGTGGTGGTGGTGTTGGTGTTGATGTTGGTAGTGGTCACATGCGGTGTGCAAGGTACTTGCGATCTGGTGTCAGGGTGTTTGGTGATATCGCGACCTGGCAGCGATGAGGGTGTTGGAGTTTAGTGTGGGGGTGGTGTCGTGGTTATTATGGTAGTGGTTTTGCATTGCTATGGTGGTGGTTTATGTTTATGTGGTGGTTGATGTGGTCGTGTATCTTTGCGATGTGTTGATTTGTTTGAGGTGGTAGTGTGGTGGTGGTGGTTCTAGCAACGAAGGTGGCGATGGTGCTGCTGGAGGGAGTGGTGCGGTGGCGGTCATGGTGTTGTTGTGATCACAAATTATTTGGTTGATTGTGACCATTAAATTGGTTAATCTTTGACCAATAACACAATATGTGACAAATGAAAAAGATAAATTGTGAATGTGACCTAAAAAAATTTAATTTGTGACTGTCTACTAAAGTGTGACTTATAATATTTGTGATTTGTGATCCATAAATAAATTATGACGTATAAATTTTTGATTTGTGATTGATGAACAAACTATTACCTATAAAATTTCTGATTTGTGACCGAAAAATAATGTGACTAATTAAATCGTTAATTTGTGACCAAACTATATAGATTTGTTACCTTAATATAATAAATTAATTAAATCATAAATAGATTTTAATTGGTATCTGATTCTTGAAATTTGAAACATTTGCTCTTAGTTTTGAAAGGAGTGATACTTAACCTCTTATTTATGAATTTTCCCATTATTGTATTCAACCTTAAGCCCAAAAAAGGGGGAGATGGTCTACTGGCCAAACCGAGGTTGGTCACCACTAGAAATTGGATGGAAATAAACTGTTTTGAGCTTGATGATTATCTCTCCTAATTTATAGATATGATAATGAGATTCTTTGATTGAGTCATCAATCAAGTGCACAAATTTAAGACTTTATAATGCAAAATTAATGACTTGAATGAAACCAGTGCAACTGAGTTTATTAAAATCTACAAACTCAAACCACTAGAAATTTCATTTCATGTAAAAGAATCTCTGTAGCTAGAACAATTGAAGAAGTCTCTTTACAGAGCGCAATACACAATCCAACACAAAACCATCAACCAATTACCTCGACAAATGACTTCGTGTACATCAGCATATGATCTTATAATAGTGAACATATTGTCGAAAACCCAACAATTTAGGATTCCATGTACTGGAAAGGTGGAGGGCTCGTTTTTGTCTTCTCATGACCTGCGAGTTGGAATTATAAACATGATAAATTGATTCGATGATTCGATCATGCAATCTATTAGGCTCCTAAACTTTGGAACTAAATTAGGCTTGTGTAGAATGTAATACTATTTCGAGAAATGAAACTTGGAGCAAATATACATGTACCTTCAACTCCACGAATCTTCACTTCTCGCCATTCTTGGACGAGGGCACAGCAACAGCACATCAAATGGGAGAGAAAGTCATCAAATAAGCCACCCTGTAAAGATAGTAGGATGTCCATAAAAATCTACCTAATGTAAATTCCAGTGAGTGTAGAAATAGTTACCCCAAGGCGAATTCTCACCAAATGGTAACTTCTTTACACAGGTTCACAAGACAAATCTTTTTTTTTTTTTCAACGTATAGAACTTGATCCTAGAGAGAATTTTAAGACTTCATTGTCAAATTTCAATATATATTTGTTCTTTTGGAGGAGAAGTCTTTTACTCTAATTGATCATTTCATCCGTCAAGTAAAAGTACAAGAACAACAAACTAAGCCTTGTTCGTAATAAATTTGGGGTCGGGTCCATAGAAGTGTAATAAGAATTATGACATGAGATAATAGAGGAATCACCTTGATGTTAAGCGTTTTGCGAAGCTTCTTTCTGATACAACATGTATAACAGCAGCAGGACAGTATCAAGGAATAAGCCATCAAGTCGTTACATGCTTCTGCAGAAGCTGCACATCAGAAGCATCATTTGCTTCCTCATGGCTTGCAATTTTCGAAAATAAAGATATTTTTTATATCTAGTGTCATTATAGGAGACAAAAACTAATAGAGAAATGAAACCAATATATTTCAAGGAAGCAGCCATTACTAGATTTCCCCAAGACCATAAATATTTCAGGATAGCCTTATTTAAGTGGAACAGTTGTTACATGAATTGAGGTGACCACAAGTTCCAACGACATCATTAATGGGACAGAGACTCGTGGCATACTATATCTGCTAGACACTTGGATTACCAACTCAGTGAATTCATCAGGTAACATTATTAAACAAAATGCCTTAGTATTGCTCCCAAGCAAACTTGTAGGCTCAATGGTAAGTCTTTAATGCAAGCATAATTGAAGTATTAAAAGGTAAAATAATCACTTACAGATGTGCTTGTTAGTTGCCACTGAGGCAATCTTCGAAAATGTGCCACAAGGAAAGAAGATAGTTTTTATGCCTGCAAAAGCATATATAGGCTGCTAAGAATTCATTTGAGCATGTAAAAATATCATAAAAATATTCCTTGTGCTAAAGAACATGGCTCTAGCATGAAATAAAATAGAATCTTGTAGCACAGGACAAGGACGAGAGACATCATATGTCAATAAAATCTAAAACATACTCAGCGATAACAGAAACATCCAATCTCATCGTCTAACATTAAATTCTCTACCGACGTGCAAAACTATGGTCTTCACCAAATTCACATAATTTAATCAATCAAATAAATAGCACCTTATGTACGTAATCAAGATACTACTTGCACTGCAAGGGGAAACAAGATGAGCGCACTTATGTTATCATTCCTACCATTCATTTTCATACAATTTCCAAATTCTTTTGCCAATCTACAATTGTTCATCTTTTTAAATCTCCTCATTATAACTATTTGCACTACAGTCTCTCTCCCATTTTGAACTTATCATTTGACTTTGCACAAGAATTAATGCAGAAAACGTTCTCAGAACAGGAATGTGGCAAAGATATTCATTCTGTATTTATTCTTAGAGTAGAGGGTGTTACAGTACGGTAACCCGAATTCTGTTTGGCCCGGTCCGAAAAGCTCGCGGTGTGATATGTGGTGAAACTAAAATTATGAGAAGTATGGATCTGTTTTATTCTAACACGCGCGCGCACACACACAAGCATATATGATGTATTTTAGGGTTTCATTATATTATTTGGTGTAGCCATCCAAAATGCTCTCTTGTACTCGTCTTTGATATAATGGATTATCTCCTCCTCTTTCCGTGGTTTTTTTCTGTCTAGAGTTTCCACATTAATTGTGTGTTCTTGTTATTATTTTTCTATTGTCTATTCTCGCTTTTGCATAACAGAGGGTCCTCCTGGAGAAGGTCCCATTCCCAAAATAAATAAATAAACAAGTGCATATATATATATATATATCAAGTGCCTGAGTGTGAAATGCGAGTTCATAAATATGAAAAGCTTAACAGCTGCATTCCATGTAATAAACAAATAAACATGTAGGAACATACACAAAAGAGGTTCTGAACAGCAGCCGAGTAAATCCGAATGCCATTCGTCGGAGAGATGTGAACCTTTAGAAGATAGCAAATCCTTCCTAGAGGAAACCGACGTGTTTCTGCACAGATGAATAAACACATGGCAAAAAGAATTCTAACATAAGTTACTTGCTGGTGGGAGGGAAGAAATTCTGAAGAAGATGCAAATTGTCATTTTAGGAGCTTGTACAAGTAGAAATCATAAATATAAGTACAACTTTGTCAAAATGAATTAATGTATCCCTTCACCAAAAACAAAATATTGATTTTCCACCCAAATTTTGCCCATAAGTGCAGTATCTCTGACTTGCATTATTACGAGTACTTGAATGATAAACACTTCCAACATGAAAAGTTACATCCGAAATATAAGTCATAGTATTCAATTTAGTGAGAATGGGGATGAATAGTCATAGAGAAAATTAACCTCGAAGTTGCCAATTTCTGATCACTCTCTGTGTAGCTATCATCATAATGTCCTTTCTCACTATTGCCATCTACATTACCCTGATCCACATTGGACTCTTTTGTGGGTGAACTTTTATCCGGACAAGAAGTTGCTGCAACTGCTTCTGTAACATCAAGCAAATGCTGGATCACTTCACACTGGCTAACATCTAAGTTAGCTTGTGAACGTTGCAGTTCTAACTGAAGCTTCTCATTTTCCTTTCTTATAGCCTCATTAATGGGCAAGTTTGGGTATGAACAAGAAAGGGTTTTCTTTAACACAACGGTGTCCTTTTGTGAGGGATCAGGTTTTAGAATTACATCTTGCACCTTCCTGTCTTCGTCATCCAATGTATATTCGTGTTGGTCCCTTTCAATCATTTCTATTCGTTCCTGATAATATGATGAGAAGTATTATTAATTAATAGCAAAAGAAACACGAAAGTGTTTATGTAAAAATATAGAAGGATTAGGTCTCAATAATAAAGAGGTGATAATCCAAGTCTTCTCTATAATTATTATAGATACATTACAAACCTAGGTGAATTAAATGTAAATCTGCGAGAAAATTTAATTCATGACATTAATGTAAGTTTTGTGAAGTATTATCTTTAACAATATTTTTGAGCAATACATATTACTTGCTTCTGCTTGATTACTGCAACTACACGAGGTCCAGAAAACATTATAATAATAGTTGACAGATGATGAAAGTATGCAACTATCGCTAAGCCTAACACAAAAAGTGACCTTAAATAACTGCATCAGATGATTGGATTTTCCAGACTCTAGAAAACAGGTTACATTTTTGCATTATGTATGACATTGCGCAAGACAGTACAACAAACAGTTTACAAGGAGAAACATAAAGCTGTAGACAGATTGTGTAGTATGGCTATTCCTTAGTCCATCCAGCTCTCATGCAAGGGAGAAAGGAAATCAAGATATAATAATAAAGACAGTCCCTGTCCAGGTAGACAATTAAAGAGCGGAGAAAATTCAGTTCTAGAGAAAAGCGCTTCTGAACTTAACTCTAGGTTTTGGTAAGATATCTATTTGACATAGTTATCACAGTATTGCGTGTGGTTAATCATACACTCACCAAAAAGTACATAATTTCACGGCCATTGCTTTTTCCTTCAACTATTTGGATCCCCTAGTTTTTTAAACCAGACTCACAGATAAGATAGCACACAGATTTTATTACATGAACAAGGCAGCATCATGGATGAAAAGGATTCAACAATATGCCATGAAATTCCAGTCAATAACATCAGTGCTGCTCTAGGCCATAAGACCCCTTTCGGAAGAAAACTAGGTGACAGAACTTTCTTACACAAAAGTATTTTTTTCAGTTAATTTTGTAATTTAATTAGAGATTATACATGGGCCAGACTCATTTACTCTTGATTCATGTCAGTAACTCAAGAAAATAAACAAAGAGAATAGAGGGACATATGTGCAGAGTGTCCGTTATAACCACTTTCATGCTTTCTATACTTCACTGTGTACATATACACCCATATCTAAGTATGCACATTCCATTTTTTTCGACATATGTTCGTAGTTTACAAATTTCCTTATGGATGAATGTTATTCCACTCCGATTAGTTTGAATAATAGTCAGCTGCAAATTTCTTCTTAAATCAAGATGCATCATGCTATAGCACACTAAACAGTTTGAGTTCACCTTAAGATTTCCAAATATTAGGTGCCCAGAATGTACCACAACAAACATTAGGCAAGATAAAACCTTTGTCCTCAAACTGACAATTTAACTGAAAGTGATCTTCTATTCTTCTGTTCAAATTTCACTGGTGGAGCTAAATAAGTTTGGTAAAGTGTCTGCAAATAATGAATTGCTACAAAATCCAAAACCAACAAGACAGCAGGAAGGTAAGGTACAAACATTAAAACAGCAAATGAATATGGAATGTCACAGGAAGCTCCGAGTTAGGATCATCACATTGTATTCATTAAATCATAAATATTCACATTGTTTTGATCAACCATTTATAGATAAAGGAAGCTATAGTTAATTATAGAAGTAAATATTGGTGTGACATTGGAAAAACTAAAATAAGTCAGGTGAAAACATACAAAAGAAATAATCAAGCTTTGATAAACGAAATAGACATTAAATTATCATAGAGCAAGTAAATTAAGAGATTGATACCCTGACTCGAGCATTATCCACAAGAGTTATGAGAGGTATGATCTTCAAGTACTGATCAATTTCGGTCTGAGCCCTCCTGAACTGGTAAACAATGTTCCATCCCATAGCCAGTAGATAGAAATAACTTCGGTCTTGGCAACTGTTAACCAAAATGTAAGACCTCCTCAATGCATCCTCAAGCTGCTCCAGTGGTTCTCGAGTTTCTGGATACTTTTTGAGCTCCGAAATCTTGAGTTGCTCCAACAAATTCCCAATCAGTTTCAGATGCTGCGCGAACTTCCTGCAGTTCTTCTTGTGCATGCGAGCCGTGCTAGCAGCTTTCACTATCATTCCAATTAGCCTAACAGCATCTATTCCCGTCAGTTGGGCCACATTTGCTATTTCCCCAAAATGTTCCCACGACGACATCTCGGACTCCCTTGGATAATCCCTTGACTGATTTTCTGTTAAGGGATAAATCCCACATCAGTTAAATACCAAAATATAAGACAACGTATACATGTTTGGACTACTACTCTTAATAAAGTTGACATTTTAATATGGAACTCTAAGTTTTAATATGGTATCAGAGCTCATTAAATTCCAACAAGCAATTCGATCTGATTAAAACTTAAAAACGAGTACGTGAATTTCAAGATTGGCTTGCTCAAACGAGCCACCCTCTTATGGGGAATGTTAGGGGATAAATCCCATGTCGATTAAATACCAAAATATAGAATAATATATAAGGATTTGACTACTTTTCTTAGTAAGGTTGACATCTTAAGATGGAATCTCAAGTGTTAATATTTTTAACTCGAGAAGATACAAAGCACATGCTTCAAATCAATATGTACTTAGCAGTTGAAGCTTTGCCTTCAATGAATTCTCTATCTTCAGCAGATGTTTTTATCTGAAAAAGATGTAAAATTGTGGGAATTTAAGGATTTTACTAATTTCTTTCACCAATTCCCAAAATTCCCATTTTTCTCATTTCAACAAAAAGATAAATTCTCTCAATTGCAACATCAATATGTGAATGCAATTAGTCAACGGCAATTCCAATGAAATCTTCTTTGTGTAAATAATCAAGATCTTTAACAGTGAGATTTGAAAGGGAGCTGAAGTCAACTGCAGGAAAAAAAAGCATTCAATGATCAAAACCAAGATCTCAAACAATTCTACTAATCCAATTGGGAAAAAAAAAGACCCATTGAATTCATTTTCTTCTTTTCGAATAAAGAGAAAAGGTAAAACATAATTAAAAGCAAGATATTGGTCCCTTTAACTAAGAAACAAAAGGAAAATTGAATAAAAACAAAAGCATAATCAATAAAATTACCCGAAAGTAACGGAAGGCACTGATAATTCACCTAAAAACTGCATAAACACAAATAATTTAAAAGTAGAAAATACATAAACATATACATAAGAATGTATGCTTATATTTGTATACACAGGGAGGGAAAAAAAAAGCAGAAATGTTCTCGAGTTCTATCACCGCTGTCTCTTTTTGTGAATGCAGAATTTCATTAAGAGCAAAAACCCACAAAAGAACAGCAAAATTGAGAACAATGGAACTAAGACTTCATTGATTTACACAATTTTCTTTACAAGTAAAAACAGATATAATCAAGAATGTTTCTGCGTGCGTGCTTACTCTCTCACACATACACAATGTAGAGAGAGATAGAGGTTGCGAGACTCACGCTTCGGTGTCTCTTGTGTCCTGTCTGGGCTCTGTTTGCTGGGGTGGACAGCTCTCTCACTCACTCACTCGCTCCCTTTATTTGGATGTGAGTGCATAGCATTTGCACACTACACAGTGCAGATAGAGCATGTTTGGAATGTTTGGACTATGTTTTTGCAGTAACTGGTCAAAATTGATTACGACCGAAGTAATTCTAAGAAATTGACTATTTATACATAGATAAAATAAATATTTTTTTTAATTTAAAAGCAATGTACTGGAAGTGGAGTCTAACAGTTGCCTATACGCGAAATGGGAGTAAAATGCTTCGCTTCGTTCTTTTTTGCACTTTTTCATTTTTTTTTAATTTTTTTTTATTTTTTGTGCCTAGGCGGGCGCTTTTTTTTTTTTTTTACGCTTATATAGTTTTTAACATTTTTTTATGTTTTTCAATGTTTTTTTTTACATTTTTTCCTTTAGTCATTAAATAATTTTTAAATTGATTTATAATAATATTAAAATAAGAAAACGTTCTTTTACGCCTAGCCCGAATATTGGCTTTCACGCTTCGTCTCGCTTAAGCTTTTTAGAACACCGTTTAAAAGTGAAATTTTGAGTAACATGGCTAAACAATTTGAGAAAAAGTTGCTTTAAAGTAACTTTTACAGTTTCCCTTAGCCAAACATGATGCAATATGCCAGACAAGCAAAGCATTAGACCCGGTTTGGTCACGGGATGGCCATTCCTGATTCCACTTCTTTCTTTATTATTAGTTTGGTAGAGTTTACTTTAGGTGGAAATTATTTTTTTAATGTTCACTCCATTAAATTGGACTTTAAATATTCAACTATTATAATTTTCATTTTTGCACTACATTTTTGAAACCTTGTTTTTGCACAACTTATTTTCATAGACAATATGTTAAAATGTTAGCCTCCGATGTGAGAAATCCACTTGAAAATAGAACGCACCTCATGCACAATTCTTGACCTCACTCATCTTTGCATCTCGGATATGTAAAATCGATCATGATAATTTGACACGACACTATTAAAGCCCTCTTAAATTTTAGCTCACCATATTAAACTAGCCTTCAAAAATAAGCCCAACGCATTATGTAGGCACAATCCATTTGAGTTTTTGGCCAATCACACTGCAACACATGCTACAACGATATTTTGACTTGAGCTTCTAGAGCCAAGAATTACCATTTGACGACCCTAGGACTAGGCCGATGACGGAATACATTGTGGACGTGACAGTTTTACATTCATCATTAGGCAGCTTAAGCAATTTGAGAGTTTTAGGCAAAATAGACAATAGGGCATTTTCGAGAAAAAAATTATATGTAGTAAATGATCATGTATGAAAATTTCATCGAAAATTGTCGACACATGAATTTGATAATGTAGATAGAATTGTCGACAATGATACTGTGAATGATCACTAACATACCTTCATTAGTGAGTATCGACAACAAAGTCGTCAATGATTTTTTGAGAATTATCGATGAAAAAAATCATTGATGACACTTACAAAACTTTACTCTCTAATACTCTCTCCATCTCATTTATATAGGCTAATTTAACTTTATATCAACTAGTTTTTGGGAAGATACGCCTTATTTTTGCTGCAGGTTGTTACAAGTTCCAACCATAATAATTAACCATTCAGCTCTCACTGAGAGTGACATATTATTGGACACCATGAACAAGAATAGGAAGAGGATTCTCAAGCAATTTGGAACCCTGGGGCAAAAATCGTCGAGGGAGGCTTTCAAAAACAATACTAAAAAAAATTAATGTGGCAAATGTACACTTTAACACATAAATTTCATTGGTAATTGTTGATAATTCTAAATGGAATCATTATATATTTAACTTGTGCTATCAAAAATGTAAATGGAGATACTCTGTCCGAACTAGAAATGCCACTGATCTATCTGCAATAGAGCTAAGAGAGTTGTTCCCTTAGCCCCCAACAAACACATAGAGAGAATATAAATGTAATGCTATGAACAAAATAATGAAAAGCGTGTAACGCCCCAAAAATTCAAGCATCTTGAGGTGTTACCAAACAAAATTTTTATGTACTTAAATGCGGAACTGTAAAATTATATTTTTCTAAATAAATAGAACATTCATAACTTTAAATAAGAATCATAATATCGTGTCTTTGAAACGATTTAAATATTCTTAACTAACAAATTTGCTAAAAATATTATTGGAACAAAACAAACTAAAAATTTTAAATAAAAGCAGTAAAACCTAATGTTATTCTCATCGGTCGAAATCCTTTGGCAGCCCGCATCACCGTCCCGCCACAGCTCCAATCGACCCGAACTAGTCTGTAAAAATTGTAAGAGTGAGTATTTTGAAAACACTCAGTAAGATACGTGCAGTTTCCATTATACAATTATATGCAATAAAATAACACTTCATACCACTCTTCTCTTATGGAGTATCTCGGTGACCAAGCGAAACACCCATCTAGGTCATCTTAAATTCCCGAAGGATCTCTTATCTCTTTCTAAG